GGGGCAAAGGTTTTACGGGTCATATGAGTGCCAAGGGGTGGATGTCAACAGAGAAGTCCTTACAGGGAATCAGACTTACTCTGCTCACCTCTCTAGCTTCAATAGCACAAAGACTGCTCAACTACCAAGGCGCCCCGGAAATAGAGGGTCCCAAGAGTGTGACAAACATTTAAAAGAAGTAGAGGAAAAGACGATAGTAAGGATTAGGGGGGAAAAACTGCAGTTCCCTATTACAGTTCAGGCACAGTTATGAGCATGACATTGATGAATCTGCCCATTTACCATTACAATTCTACTGTGAAAAAGAACATGGTTAATGTCCTTCCTTTGGGGATGGCGTAAAGACACTTCAGTCAGTAGCACCGTCCCTGGGGGGGAGGGGGGTAATAATAAGTGTATCCATATAGTACACATACATCTCTACAGCATGCTATATGCGCTTTGCAAAACTATTATCAAGCTACCCTAGAAGACCCAAAAACACTCAGAAACATCCTCAACTTCTCGGGAAATATACAACGCAAGCTGCTAATTGTACGCCCTCAAGTGAGGAACAGATGTGTCAAGTACCTTTCCAAAGACAAAACTTCGGGCCCCTGGTAGGATTCAAATCCAAGACCTTACACAGTTGTGTGTCCGGGAGCTGTTAGGCCACTGTATGGTCAACGATCTGAGATAGTCAAACTCAATGTCTTCAGAAAAAAAGAAGAAAAGAAATTCTAGGCGGCAGCAAGATGGTAGGGGGACGCGCTTATGCGTAAGCGTGTGTGTGGAAGGGGGGGGGGGATTTCTTTTGTGATTGTCTCCGTTTTGTATTGAGAGCTATGTTCTGAAGCTGTAAAAGAACAATATAAGATGACAAGAAATACCTGGTACATCAAGTCACAATTAGCGCTTTGTTGAACTGTTGTTTAGCAGAACCCTTACCCCGACTATTATGTGGATCACCGAGCTCGATGCCCGAGCCATTGTAACAGTTTGTCAAGACGAACCCAGAGTTCCTTTATAAAACTTTTACCAACAACAATTCCAAAGGTGTTTTTTTACTACTAGTCCATCTAATATTTGCAATCTAATGTCGGCATCTGTCGGTCTTCTTGACATGTCCGCAGAAAAACTACTTCCTGTTTCCTCTTCAATTTCGAAGGCTTATTTGCCAGCTCAACATAGTAACCGATATTGCTGCGTGGCATGCATAATCTGTGGCCAAGTCTATCAGCACGACGGGCGAGGAAGACAGAGACTGTTCTCTATTGCCTGTCTGTCTGAACTTCCGGGTCCTCTAGGCCCCAAGTGGCTTTATGAAGGAGTTCACAGAATGCAATTTTTTGTTTCTTTTTTCCGGGGGGGGGGCTCTTTGCCCTTTTGGGGGGGGGGGGAGGGGGATGTTTTGTTATGTGATGTCTTTTGTGTTTGTGTGTGTGTATGTGTGTGTATGTGTGTGTGTATGTGTGTGTGCATGTTTTGTGGGTATGTGTTTGTCTTATAATGGTATGCGCTTGCATTTGTTGCATGCGAGTATGTCTGCGTGTTTTTGCATGTGTGTGTGTGTGTGTGTGTGTGTGTGTGTGTGTGTGTGTGTGTGTGTGTGTGTGTGTGTGTGTGTGTCTGTGTGTCTGTGTGTGTGCAGACATATAAGTGAGTAGTCGTTGGGTGTATGTATGTGCGTGTGAGTGTAGTGTTCGTTTCGCAAACGGTTTATTGTTATTCAATTTCTGATTATTCTTCGTTAAGAGCTGATGGCGACTGGACAGCTAATAGCTCTCAATCTCATGGCAGGTAGATCTGCCGTACAGGAAGAACTAAATGTTTCTCCACGGGCGGGAAATTGAATCCGTTGTCAATGTAGCCATGTACCCCAATTAGTCCGCAGGTGCGATACCAGCTGAGCAAAGAGTCTGGCAGATTGTTGGGGGTTTACAGTTCTGTTTATTTGCTGGAGTTTTTTTTACAGGCAGGTGTTGCATGTTTTCTCATTTATTCTAAAGTGCATATCTTCTTAAAGCAGAGAATTTTTGGTCCACTCTGTATCTTAATACACTTACCTGAGCGTTTCTTTTGAAACTGTTGCTAGTAGTTCGATCCATAACATTCAACGGGCTATAATCTGAAAGGAAATATTATGGCTTGAGAATCGTGCACTGGTGACATTTTCGTTCGACAGGTCAAACGCACAGATAGAATTGTACAGGTCTTGAAACGGAGGGAGAGTTGAACTTCTCTTTCTCTCTCTCTGTCTCTCTCTCTCTTTCTCTCTCTCTCTCTCTCTCTCTCTCTTTCTCTCTCTCTCTATGTCTCTCTGTCTCTCTGTCTCTCTCTCTGTGTCTCTCTCTCTTTCTTTCTCTTTCTCTCTCTCTCTATCTATCTATCTATCTATCGAGAGAGAGAGAGAGAGAGAGAGAGAGAGAGAGAGAGAGAGAGAGAGAGCGTGTATCCGTATCTGTATTGTCTGAACAAAAAGTCTAAAGATCTTTCACTAACTGCAGACACATCTCATCTATGATCAGAAGAAAAGTGAGAGGTAGGGGGTGGGGTGGCACTGCAGGAAATCGGGAAAACAAAGCTATCAAAAACATATCATCTCGGCATTTATTGCCCTCATCTTTTTTGGTGGCCCTAATGCTGGGCTTAGGCTCGAAATGATGAGAACGAGATAGAGTCTTGGCTCGTAGCGAAAGGCGGATCGACTCGCCATACTGATGAGGGAACGATCACAAGTGATAACTTCACGTATGAGCGGATACAGGGAGTCATGGGAAGTAGATTCTGAAGCAGATAAAGCTGCCTCAGACCGCTGAAGATAGATCCGAATAAGAGCTTTTGCTATTTATTTGATTCTGAACATATTTCCTTTTTTCACCCCGAAGATATCTTAGATCTTGTGTACATTAATGAAATACTTGTTTATAGGAGTGTGGAGCGTTTCATTTTGTTTAAGGAAAATATAGGAAGTTAGAGACGGGACGCCAACGTTTCGTGTTTCGCCAATTATTTTCAGTCTAGGGCAATATTAGCTGGCAATCGGTATCGGAGCTGCTCGAGCAAGGCAAGGTTCAGACTAAACAAACAGCCTTGGGTGGCGACAGTAACACAATTGTCTTTTTTATTGGTTCAATTTGAAAAGAATCGTCTTAACCGAACATTCCCTAACGCATTATTTCCATTTGTTCACGCCGTAAGTTAGCAACATATTTCGTCAGTAAGTCATAATTAACGGGTGGAGGTGTCGGGTCTTCCGTTGAGGAAATGTAAGTTTCGCTCTTTATCTTGGGTTGTTTTTTGGCTAGTGTTATACAACTTTCGCAGCTGCATAAGGTTATGGGAGCGCGCAAGACACATTAAGCATAATCAGTTTGGTAGGAATTAATTTTGAATTTTGCCCGGATGGCGGCCAAAGTCTACTTTTATCGATTTTAGGAACACCAAATGGATCTCTAGCGTGTGCAACTTGCACACGGGACTTCAGAGGTTTTTCGCCGTTTTTCTAGAAAGCTAAATGTAGATATTGCCTACCACAAGACCAGGGGTGTGGCTGAAAGACAGCTGCAGTAAGAAGGAGCCAAGGAGTAGCGGGAGGGGGGCAGAAAGGAAAGATGAAAGCATGCAACAGAACATAGAGTTAGAGAGCAGGAAAGGATGTGAAGGGGGGAAATATTAGAGAAGAAGAATGTTCTGTCTCTATCAGATTTCGAACCCAGGGCCTATTGAATGAGAGGCTAACACCGTCCCTTTAGACCCCCCCCCCCCCTTGAGTTGTTTATAGGTGAAGAGGAAAAGGGTATTATTTTTGGATGCTGTACTGTTGGGTTTTTTATCGGTGTGTGTGCGTGAGAGAGAGAGAGAGAGAGAGAGAGAGAGACAGACAGACAGACAGACAGACAGCGCTATCTCCGGGTGTTCTCCGACTGCTTATTAAACCTCATGGGGGAGAAACGCCCAGATGAATAGCGCATCCTCCCAGGCCCCCACCTTCACAACCCTAACCCGTCAACTAGCCATCTACCCCGCAAGCCTAACACCAAGATTAAAAAAGGGCCGGGGAGAAAAAGACCCCACCCACGTCTAAAAAACCCCCAGCCGGCCCGAACATCAGACATCCAGGCACACAGCCTACCAGTCAAACAGCCAGCCAACCAGCCACAAGGCCAGACGGAAAAAGGGGGGAATTTTTTTTGTTTTTTTGGGGGGGGGGGGGGGTGTAGGTGTTTGCCCATTCGTTTTTTTTTTTTTGTTGCGGGGGGGGGGGGGGGGTTGGTGTCTTCTTTTAGGTGACGAGTGCAAGATATGTATATTTTGTGGTCAAAAGACTCAATCTTCATTATGGGATTGGATCAGGTCGGGTCTGGTAAAAAAAAATAGCCTTGGCCAGTGCATACGATTTTAAATAGACCTCTGCTCTGCTTCATCATTGCGCATTCCGTGGGCAAACAATTAATGATCTGATCCCGCAATGTCATGTGACATCTAGGAACCTTCTCATTGGCGTTTGGTTAAGATTTTCATCTAATATACCCAGAAAAGTAAACATACAGTTAAACCACGGTATAATAGTTTCCCTTTGGGCCCAAAATTTTGAACCTGTTAGATGAGATGGGTGTGCGCCAAAAATAGAGCTAAAAACACTAAATGGGGCTTGGAGTTTCAGAAAGTAAATGTTACAGCCGATTGTACGTTTATGCTGAGTACGTTATACCGAGGTTTTATTGCATTTGACTTCGGAGAACCTGGTCGGATTGCGCCAAAATGTCAGCTTTTGTCCCTCCATAAGGGAAAATTAGACCGCTCTCAAGTAGATCAAGTTCTATCAGATGTGTCAACGAAGAGGCGGGTCGACCTTCTACAGTGTTCAATGGGTAGTATAACTAGAAGACGCCCATATGATGTCGACAATAATTTCACACTTTAAAAAATGTTAATTCCCAATGAGTTTTGTTCATTTGGTCCGTATATTCAAGTGGTAATAATCCCTCTCATATTTCATGTATTTTTATATTTTTCAGAAGTCCAGAATGGACACCTTGTGAACATCACTGCCTTTAAGTACAGATGGCAGGCCATGAGGTTCTTGGAAAAAACTACACCAGCACTGATGCTTGAGAGGCTATTTCTAGCTTTGCCTCCTGAACAACTTGATTTTCAACTTTCAAGCATTCTCATTGGCGGACATGATTGAGTGCACCAACCAGACAGTCGATGTGGGTGGGGGCGGGGCTGAAAGTGCCCTTGGAGATGAAGACGCCCAAAGACTTTTCAAGGATGTCAGTAAAGTCATTAACCAGGTGAGTAACGCCGGGCTTTTTATTCATATGCTGGACCAAAAACAAATCAGTTCAGAGTTTGCCTCATCTTATAAAGATCAACTTTTGTACTGGCGTGCTATCGGTTTCTTTTGCGTGATCATAGTTCATAAAGTAGTACAATGATATTTTAATAAAGTGGTAAAGGGTATATCGTCTGAAAACGGAACATGGGATCAATAACAAGCGTGAGAGCTTCCCTGGGCTGCTCCCCATCAGGAACAGAACTGTCTAGACCGCTGGGATGGAACACCAAAATCCCCAGGATGTGATGGCCATGACACGTATGGTACTTTGTACTTTAGCGTCACGTAATACGTAAGAGAAGCCGTAAGACCAAGTTAGATAACAGTCAGAAACTCACAAAGAATATTGCGTGTGTGTATATTTGTGTGTTTGTGTGTGTATGTGAGAGAGAGAGAGAGAGTGCGTGTGTGTGTGTGTGTGTGTGTGTGTGTGTGTGTGTGTGTGTGTGTGTGTGTGTTTTTCTCGGCAAATTGGGCACATGAGCATCAACATTAAGCGTCTGAAAAGGGTTCTCTGTCTACTGTCTCAATCTGCCCACAGTGTCCCTGCCCGTACTATGTCTCCTCTGGGAGGACCGGTATTGTGGAAGAACTTCAGAATGAGAATGATTAATTTCCCCTCTCCCCCCCCCCCCCCCCCCCCCCCCGCCCCCACCTCCCCTCGAGTAATTAAAGTTACGTTTCCACCAGACTACAATGTCAGCAATAAGTTTCTCCCCACCCCTCCCCCCACCCCACCTCTTTTTTTTGTTGGTTGCTTTTCCCACCCACCACCCAAACACCGATTTTTCTTTCCGATACCTTCTCCTCATAAAAAAGCATTTTCTAATTTCCTCTCTGGTTATAATAGTGTCACACGGACTTCATTATGAAAGAGATAGGACATGCAATCAGGAATTTCGAAATCTTTGGCTTTCAGAAGTTCTGTTGTTTCTTCAGTTGAAGTTTGGCGTCTTGGGTGAACTTTACTTTTCCCTTTTCACACGTTTGTCCTTTTCAATGTGCTCTATACAAAAAGTGTCCATTAAATGTGATTTTTCTGTTCATTTACAATGGCGCACACAGACCTAAGAGTATCATAATATTATAACAGGCTCAAAAACCACAACAAACTTATCGGTCATCTTAAAGATTTCAACATCTACACCGAAAGGGGAGGGGGGAGGGGGAGAAACGTTAATCCTGCATGACAATACTTTCTAGTATTGCGTTGGGTGGGGGGGGGGGGTAGGAGAGAGAGAGGGGGGGAAGAGATAGAGACAGACAGACAGAGAGAGAGAGAGAGAGAGAGAGAGAGAGAGAGAGAGAGAGAGAGAGAGAGAGAGAGAGAGAGAGAGAGAGAAAGAGAGACACGTTGACATCATGTTGCACAGTTGACGTGAGCTTGGGGAAGCCGCTGAGATTTGCCGGTCAAATCGAGCAGTATAATGCTGCTTTGTTTTCATATTATTATTTCATAGAACACAGAATTTCTTCTCTGTGCATTGAGGTCCTGAGAGACCCAACCCTTCTCCTTCCTATTAGCTTAAATTGCGCTTAGACAGGTGTTTGACAGGGTAATCAAAGTGAAACGGGACCAGACATGGCCTGGAGATATCACACAAGAATCTTACTCGAGGCGGCGACTCTGAGCTGTGAATGAAAACAAATTCGGAATTCACATTGTATGTTCAACCGCCAAAATAATCGGGAAAGTATCTTATTAAATATTAATTCCAACTACAATTAAATGTAACTTTAGATGTGAATACACAAACACAAAGCAAAGAAGCAGAGATGCCAGTATTAGATCTCTAGTTATAGATCTACCCGTGAGTCTAACTCTTTGGTAAAACATGACAATTACCCTTTTTTAAATTTTCACATTTGGCTTTTTTTGTCTAGCCTATCGCAGCCAGGAGGCGGTGTCATAATCGAGGTCACGATCTGATTATAGGACGGTAAAAAGTCGAGGAAAAAAGCAAGCATTTGCAACAGTCAAGAGA